CTGAATAAAAGTAAAACCTTTTTCGTTTTCCATTAAACAAAAAATATCTTCAATTATTCATCTAAGTCACAATATCATAACTTAACAAAATATAACTCAGAATACAGACTAAAATCTTAGAATAGAGACTTTTCAAAAGCGTTCGGCAAGGTACGGCACAAAACATTTCATATAAACTAAAGGACGAAGACATTGGAGGTCAATTACATGACCAGATAAAAAATTGGTTACCAAAAAAAAAAAAAAAACGTGTCATAATAAATAATACACTGTCTCCAAGGAGAATTGAATTTAACGGATTACATCAGGATTCGGTTTTAGGACCGCTCCTTTTAGTGCTCAACATTGACGATTTACCGTACTTATATTTGAGCCATATAAAGATGCATGCAAACGACAGCAAGCTGATAGGTATTATCAAGTCTCATGAAGATACACGTTTTCGAAAAAATCTTGAAACAGCTGTTAAATGGTTTAAAGAATGGCTCATGCAATTTAACATCGAAAAATAAAAATTTTGGCAAAAATTACAATGGTAAAATTTCAAAGGAATCATAAAATGATCATCGCAAACGACTTAAAACTACAGCAAAAGTATGTGATTAGGGGGTACTAGTATCCAATAACCTTAAAGTGAAGTTACAAGCTCAACATGGAACTGCAGCTGGAAATAGAGTGCCAGGGAAATTTAAAAAAATTTAAATATTTTTAAGGTGGTACACCACTAAAAAAACAGTGGTTTTGGAGTAAAATTTCAAAATTTAGTTTTTGGACTTGTTTTTTTCCAAATTTTATCCTTTTTCATTTGATATAACCATCTTAAATTGTTTAACTACATAAAACACTTTAAAAATGCATTTTTCTAAAGTTGTTGATAATTTTGACCATAGCAACGCCTTAGCAACAGAATAAAAAACCCTAATTCAATCCCTAAAATCTATGCTTAAGCTTGGCTATGCTTGGCTTCTTTTTTATGGAATATACCTAGGCTATGCTAGGCTTCTTTTTTATATTCGTAAAGTTTTGAACTATACTTTGAAAGCTTTGAACTATACTATAAGCGTATGGGTACCCGATTACGGAGTTTAGTAAAATTACATAGTGGCACTAAAACACCATTGTCTGGTAAAAATAAACTGACAGATAAGATAATAAATTCAATGCAAAACTACTATGGCATTGCTATTAGAAGAAACACTACGAATATTTATGCTATGAAGAAGTCTATATATGCTTTTCTTTTCCACTTTACCAATATTCTGAATCAAGATGAGCGTCATCAGTTTTGTCCTCAGGATTCTGAAAGCTGGTGCAGGTATTGGAGTAAAACAAAGCAGTATATACCATCAAATTCAATTCCAGTCTGGATTAAAAACCTGCTAATAACAATTTTTAAAAGCTTACAAGACGATCAACTGCTATCTAAATGCCTTCATTGTAAGACACAAAATCCAAATGAGTCCTTGAATGCCCTCATATGGTCTAGGGTTCCCAAAAACACTTTTGTCAGTAGAGAAACAGTTGAAATGGGAACTTACTCTGCTGTTATTCATTTTAATGATAGTAGTAAAGGTATTTTGGATGTTTTAAAAGAGTTCAATTTGACTGGGTATATAACAGTAATAACATCTGTTCAGTTTGACAATTCTCGTGTGAATCAAATGAAACGAAAGTCGACACAAAAGTGTATAAAGCAAAGAAAAAAGTTAAGATCAATAGCCAAAGGGTTCAGTGATAAACAAAATTCAAATGAAACTAATCAGTCATATGTTTCTGGTGGACATTAACCAAGATTTTACTGGAAAAAAACTTTAAATGTGTTTTTTACAGTTTTTCATTTTTGCAATACTAGGGTAACTTTGAAACGTAATATCTTTGTATTGGCTAATGATTTTTGCCTGAAATTTTCAGGGTATACTCAATATACTCAAGAAATTCGGTTAACAGATGGGATTTAAAAAATTCTTCTTAAATATTTTTAAATAAAGAAATTAGTTCACATGTTAAGTCAAATTACTTAGAATTTCAAGCATATTTTCAATAATTCGTAATAAAACTTAAAATATGTCCTTAAATTAAAAATCCATCTGTCAACCGGAATAAAACATTATAATGCAACAATATACTAAGTTTGAACTAGAGAAAATGTATATAACGGAAGATATCACGTCACAAAGTTATTCAATTTTATGCATTTTTTAAGCAGTTTTTCCGCCATTATGGATGCAAAAAAAACTTTTAGAAAAAAATTTCATTTCAAATATTTTTTTTTATAAATTTATAATCAGAAAAATATGAGTTTTTGGTTTTATTCCAATTTTAAATTGAAAAAGTGCTTTTTAGTGGTGTACCACCTTAACTCTTTGGGGTTTCTTGTATACTACTAATACCCAATCATTATTATTAGTTTAATTAATAAAAGCAAAAATTTTCTCTCAATGGTATAAATTTTCATTTTTTAAAAAGTTTTTTTTGTTTGTTTTTGATTATCCATAATATTTTATTCATGTTTAAAACTTGTGAAATTAGTTAAGTGCGTTTGCTAAAGTTTCTGGTCTAATCTATTCTTAGTTTGTTTTTCATTTACTAGTGTAAAATTTGACAAATTAACATGCCAAGGAAGTGTGTAAACTTAGAGGTCAATTTTTGTTACATTTGTGGTTAAATAACATTTTCCTCACAGAAAAAAACTATGCTACCTCTTGTGAAGACAGCTTACCTGTCTTACTTCGATATGAAGGTAGAGGACCAGGATAAGTCATGGGCTCCACATCTATGCTGTAGCTCTTGTTTGATTACCCAACAAGAAATTTTTGATAAATAAAAAAACATCTTTGGCTTTTGCTGATTCTATGGTATGGAGGGAGCCTACATACAGATGCTGTTTCCCCTTGACCCCACCCATTAAGGTAGATTTTTCAAGGAAGAAACTAGGAACAGTTAAATATCTGAATCTTTTTCTGCCTCTCAGCCTATTCCACATTCAGATAGTTTACCAGTTCCTACTCCACTACAAAGTTGTGAGTTAGAAGCAGAAAATGAAGGCAGAAATGAAGTAGAAATAGAAGAAAAAGAGTCTTCCACATCAAGAAGAGTTCTTCCATTCCACAAGAAGAAGATGAGTCTTCCACATCAAATAATCCAGATTTTGTGTTAACAGATGATGTGCTACACAGATTGACTCAAACAGAATTAAGTGATCTTGTTTGCGATCTGAACTTTTCATAGGAAAAGGCGGAACTTCTAGGGTCAAGACTAATGCAGTGGAATCTTCTCCAATTTGATGTCAAGGTTTCACATTACAGAAAACGGCAGCAGAATCTGCTTTTTTTTTTTTGAGAAGAAAAATAATCTTGTTGTTTTGCATTGATATCTTTGGATTAATGTATTGTCTTAATTTGAACTATGATCCAACTGGATGGAGATTATTCATAGACACATCTAAGCTAAGTTTGAGAGCTGTATTACTGCACAATGGAAACCGTCTTCCTTCTGTTACTATAGGCCATGCAGTGAAACAGACATATATAATAACAATAAATATGAAAATTCTCCTCAACTTAATTAAATACAATTAACACCTAAACCTTTTCCCACCCAGTTGTGGAGCGGTTAGCGATGAAAAGGGAAAAATGGGGATTTCGTGACGATTCCCCATATTCATCTTTATACCTAATTGCTTAATGATCGTGATTTCTTTTTTTAAAACTGTTATAATATATATGTAATAAAAAAAATCAAACGTACTATAAATATTATAAGAATATGTAAATTATGTCTTATTGCCCTGTTGCAAATTAATAAAAATAAAAATTTATTGCTTTTGTATATCTCAGAAACTAGAGTTAATAAAAAAATTTCGTTGTCATTTTCTTCTTTCTCAGCCCAAAATTGGTACAATTAGAATAATATTAGTAGAAATAATTTTTTTTTGTTACAGCGTAATTTAGTTGATAGTGAACTTTTACAAAATTATTACTTAGTCGTATATAATAATAAGTATATAATATATAATAATAAGTCGATAAAATATAAAATTACTTAGTCGTATATAATAATAAGTATATAATATATAATAATAAGTCGTATATATATAGTAGTGAACTTTTACAAAATTATTACTTAGTCGACTACGTTCCACTTTTATCTTAAGGCGAATTTCCACTCATCCTTTTTTTCACGGGAACGGGAAAAATAATCACGTGGGCATGCGTAGTATAAGTTTTAATGTGTCCAAAGGAAAACTACGCATGCTCACGTGATTATTTTTCCCGTTTCCGTGAAAAAAAGGATGAGCGAATTTCCACTCATCCTTTTTTCAAGGAACGGGAAAAATAATCACGTGAGCATGCGTAGTTTTCCTTTGGACACAGTGAAAATCATTTTGTAAAAGTTCACTATTATATATATACGACTTATTATTATATATATACGACTAAGTAATAATTTTGTATCCCGTGAAAAAAAGGGATGAGTGGAAACGCACCTTAAAACTCTGTTCATTTACCGCGAATCGTAAAAATCGTGCCATTATTTATTTTTATTTAGCGCCAAATTCTACAGCTGATTTGTTAAAAAAACCAAAACATAAAAAAAATAATCAACATAAAGATTCATGTAAATAAAATTAGGCTCTGGTATAAAATTGTTCATATTTGAATTTCTTTTAAAAAATTTAAATTATTATTCTAAATGCAGGTTTAGTCTTGGTTGAAAATTATATGATGTTTCATGTGACATGAAACATATAATTTAATCATAAAATAACACGACATGACATGTCGTGTTACTTTTATTGCATTTCCTTAAAGTTGAAAAAATAACTATTTTTTCTCCTCGCAGTAAAGGGCAAAAAAACAAATGAGCTAATAAATTTGATTTTGTTTTTATGCATAATTAAATAAAAATTATATTTATAAATGCATATAAAAGTATCTTCATAAATGCATAACTCAAAGACAAAAATCCTCTTTTTTTTGTCTTCGCAAACCCGTTATAGTAAAAAAAAAAAAAAAAGAAGGATGATTCCATTCAAGTAAAAAAGTGAATTTTGATTGTATTGTTTCTGAGTCATTTTTATCGTCCTCTGTAACCACAGGTTTGTATGACTTGATTTTAATGACAGAAAACTAAAACAAGTAGCTATGTAAACAAGATATTTAACGCAAGTAAATGTAGAAAGAGAAAAAAAGAGGTTTGTATTCACCCCACATTGAAATCAATAAACTATGTATTTTGATTTCTGTGTGGGGCTAATAAAATTACCTTGAGAATTTTAAAAAAGCAATGGTTTATTTTTCATATTGGTCTTGGTAAATCTATTACAATAAGTTGATCATTGTGGTAATACTACAGACCAAGTTTGCTTAATTAAAGTTCCAAAAGTCAAATTATAATTCTCTAAAAAAGGTTTTTAATTATTGCTTCAAAACCAAAAAAATTTATGACTTTTATTTGATTACAACAATAGTAGATAAAACTAATTAAAAGGAAACAAATATTGTTTGTTTGTTGATTTCATTATATATTATAATTATAAATTTTTTTCAATACTTCTTAGGGTTATATCTTTATAGTTTAAACCAATTATTTTTATTGCTATGAACTGTTTTAAATATTTAACATGTTGCTGCTTTTTTTACTATTTTATTATTTACTTACCAGGATGTTTATAGAAAGCACTGTTTAAAACTAATAAGTCTGTCTTGTATGATTAACAAAAAAAAAAAAAAAAGAGTTAAAAAAAATTAATTAATTAAAAAAAAAAAAAAAAAATGTTATAAAGCAAATGGCATTAAAAATAATAACTCTATTTAGTATAATTGAACAATAAGTTTCAAAAACTAAGTGTGTCATATAATTCGAATAAAACTTCTATTAAAAGCATAAGTAAACTGTACTACCAGAAATTTGATTTTTTTCTTATGTTCTGAAACTTTATTCTTTATTAATTATATTCAAGATCATATATAAAGGTACATATTCAAAAAAGTATAAAAATAATATATATTTTTAAAGTTATATTTTAAGTAGAAATTTAGAAAATTTAATTCTAAATTTAATTTATTAATAACTTGATAACTAATTTTTTTTCTTTATAATATATTTTAGATACATTTAGTGTTGATATCAATAATACTGATAGATGATGTTCAAGGAAATATTGGTATGGGTATATTAGTATTATATGTATTATTATATGTATTAGTGTTATGTAATATATATATATATATATATATATATATATATATATATATATATATATATATATATATATATATATATATATCTATATATATACATCTATATATATATATATATATATATATATATATATATATATATATATATATATATATATATATATATATATATATATATATATATAATTTATAAAAGTTATAAATATTTATATATATATATATATATATATATATATATATATCTATATATATACATCTATATATATATATATATATATATATATATATATATATATATATATATATATATATATATATATATATATATGTATATATATATATATATAATTTATAAAAATTATATATATATATATATATATATATATATCTATATATACATCTATATATATATATATATATATATATATATATATATATATATATATATATATATATATATATATATATATATATATATATATATATATATATATATATATAGATGCACACACAACCTGTAGAGGTTGGACTATGGTTTTACCCCAGCCCAAATTTCTGTTTTAATATAGCATTACATGTTGTGCTCATTTGTAAGTCAATGTAAAAGCACTCCTCACATGTTCAACCTATTTGTCAGTCGATATATTTTTACTGAAAAAAAATGAAAATAAAATTAAATTAAAAAATAAAATACACACAATAAAACAAGTTAATTAAGTTTACATTTTTTTGGTTATTAAAAAATCCAAAATGTCATGCCTAATTTTCTCAAAGTACTGTTGCGGGAAGTAGCTCCTTTTAACTACTCCAGGTCAGGTCAGGATAATGGAGATCAATCTTGCTACTGGTATCACGTAACCCAGTACCACCTGCCGCAAGCCCTGCTGCCTTGCAGAGTGTGCTCTTCTTATGCAAAGGCTAGGAGAAATAAACTCCGACTAAAAATTCCCCTGCCTTGGGGCTCTTGGTTGAGTAAAGGCTAGAGATGGTGTCTCAATAAAAACACTCATCTTGGGCAGATGTTAACTGCATCCAGCTAAACATCCTCTGCCTTGGGGCTCTTGGTTGAGTAAAGGCTAGAGATGGTGTCTCGATAAAAATACTCATCTTGGGCAGATGTTAACTGCATCCTGCTACTGTCTTGTAGAAGGCCTCCTAGGCAAAGACTTTAGGGGTAAGCAGAAAAATTCTGCTAACCAGCCTCGAACCCCTTCTTCATCTATTAAGCTGGCGTAGATGTAACCTGTGTTACATTGTTTCCTGCCTAGAATGATGAATGCTGGAACTCCTTGACTCTACTCATAGAATTTTGCTTATGCCTTGATAATGGCTATGCACCTCTTCCTGTTATCTCCATATGAGGGTACAGCTCTAAAACTCAGTTTAATGGTTCTGAGGTCGGCTGGTAGTAAGGTTTCCCGAACTCTGTGGTAGCTCTCAGAGAGGCTGATTCTATCAACAGCTGCAAAATATCAGAGTGTTAACAGTGCCATGTTGCGCATGGATGGTGTCCCTGTTAATGCTTTTGGTGTGCATTGTCAAGGCCACATAAGGAGCCCTATGTCACGGCTTAGGGTTAATTAACAGGACTGAGACAAGTGCATAGCTCATTGATTAGGAGGCTGTGCTCTATCTATGAATGAGTCAAGTTCTCATTAAACCCAAATCATGACCAAAGTAACCAAAAATTTTAAACCTAAAAAACCATCCCCACCACCTAAATGTTTTAATATATCTTTTACAAATATTCGCGGTCTACGAAGCAACTTTCCATCAGTTGAGTCTTACCTCCTGCAAAATTCACCAGACTTGCTTGCACTCAGTGAAACAAATTTAAGTTCTGCAATTCCTTCTTCAGATGTCAGTGTTGATGGGTACTATCCTTTGATTCGTAAAGACTCCAATAGTCACATGCTAGGTTTAGGGGTATACATACGCATTAATTCCCCTATTTGTCGTGAAATCAGGTTCGAATCCTTTGACCATTCTTTTATGTGCTTTTGCCTAGCACCTCTTCACTCTATCACCTTTCTCTTTGTTCTTTATCGTTTTCCTTCTTCCCATGATTGCACTCTTTTAGATGTTATCTCTGATCAAATTGACCATGCCCTCTCTCTTTACCCCTCTGCCAATATTGTTGTTGTTGGTGATTTTAATGCCCATCACACTGAATGGCTTGGCTCTAACACCACTGATATTGCTGGCACTAAAGCCTTTAACTTCTGCGTTTCTCAATCTCTTACTCAGATAGTTAACTTTGTGACTCGTTTTCCTGACAACCCTAATCATTTACCTTCACTCCTTGACTTATGTCTTGTCTCTGACCCTAGCTTATGTTCAGTTTCTCCCTTTTCTCCCTTAGGTGGTTCTGACCATGCAATGATCTCTATAAATCTTTCTTCTCGTACTTCTTTTTTGGGCTCACCTTATCATCGCACCACCTACTACTACCCTAAAGCTGACTGGGATTCCTTTCGTGATTTTCTTCGTGATGGTTCTTGGGCTAATGTTTTTTCTCTCTCAGCTGACAAATGTGCCTCCTACGTAACCTCCTGGATTCAGGCTGGAATGGAAGCTTTTATTCCTTCTCGTCCGTTTCAAGTCAAGCCTCATTCTACTCCATGGTTTTCTCCTTCTTGTGCGGCTGCTATATCCAATCGTAACCATTTTTTTCATCTTTTTCAAAAGAACAACTCTCTTGAGAACAAACGGCTATTTATTATTGCAAGAAATCGATGTAAAAAGGTGCTTTCTGATGCTAAACTCCATTATTCTCAGTTCACTAAATCTCGCATCTTATCGCAGAAGTTAGGCTCTAAAGACTTTTGGAAAATCTTCAACAGCATTGTTAACAAGGGTAGATCTAACATTCCATCTCTCATTCATGGGACTAGTCTTGTTACCTCTCCCAGGGATAAGGCAGAACTGTTTGCAAAGAACTTTTCTTCTAATTCCACTCTTGAATCTTATGGACATTCTCTTCTTTCCATTCCAGTCAAACAGGTTGACCCATTGTTAGACATTCAAATCACTCCGGCTTCTGTTGCTAAAGTCATATCTCAATTAAACTCGTCTACAATTTCTTTCTGACCGGTTTATTAAAGTCATCCTTGAAGGCCAACACTCTTCTTTATTTCCAGTAACTTTTGGGGTTCCCCAAGGTTCCATCCTGGGCCCTGTTTTGTTTCTTATCTACATAAACGATCTTCCTGACAACCTTTCATCTAAAGTAGCTCTTTTTGCTGATGACTCAACTTTATACTCCTGTCTTGACAAAAAGTCTTCTCTTTTCAATCGCCTAGAACAAGCAGCTGATCTTGAATCTGATCTCACTTCAGTAATAGATTGGGGTTCACAGTGGCTTGTGAATTTCAACTCTAAAAAAACCCAATTGCTTACTGCAAACAACTACCGTAATATGGTCAACATTCCTATATTAATGAATGGCAATCCTCTTACTGAGTCGTCCTCTTTACGTCTTCTTGGATTATCGCTTACTACTGACCTTTCATGGAAACCATAAATACAATCGATTGCTAAATTAGCTTCTGCTAAGGTTGCTTCTCTTTATAGTGCTCGCCATTTCCTTACTTCTGATTCCATTCTCTACCTCTACAAATCTCTTATTCGTCCCTGTATGGAATACTGTTGTCATATTTGGGCTGGTTCTTCTAACGATTCACTCTCTCTTCTTGACAAGGTCCAAAAACGCATTGTAAATGATGTTGGACCTTGACTATCTGCTAAGCTTGAACCTCTTTCCCATCGTCGTAAAGTTGCATCTCTTTTTCTTTTCTACAGATACTATCATGGTCACTGCTCAAAGGAATTATCATCTCTAGTTCCATCAACTAAAATTCATTCTCGTTTTACTCGTCATTCAGCTAAGTCTCATTCGTTTTCTGTATCTGTCCCTGCATGCTCTAAAAACTTTTATTCATCTAGTTTTTTTCCCCGCACTTCAATCCTTTGGAACTCTCTCCCATCTTCATGTTTTCCTGACTCATACAACCTTCAATTTTTTAAGTCTTCTGTTAGCCGTTTCCTTGCTCTATAACTCTGTTCTTTTTTTTTCCTAGTAACTCCCAACTTAATAGTGGTTGCTTGCAGCCTTGTTGGGAGTGAATGCAAATAAAAAAAAAAAAAAAAAAAAAAGATGTTTAATTTCATTAAGTTTTTCCATTATTTTAATGGTTTTGGCTTTCAACACAATGACAGCACAAATAAGTTGGAAAAAGTCAAAAAATAATTAAATGTATTTTGTTGTTAAAAGAATAATTTTTTACCTTCTGTACTCTTAAAGCCAACAATGGCAAATGCCAACCAAATATTGATGAAGTTGGACTTGCATCAAAATCAAATTGGGTGACTTTTTTTTTTTTTTCTTTTTATTTGTAATCATTTATTTATTTTAAATTTATAATTTGTTTATATTATTTTTATTTTGCATTCTGAAGAAGAGGACATTTTTCAGTTACATATTACAAAATAATGCATTAACATTTTACAAGTGTTAAAGTTTGTTATATCTTTTTCCTATTATTTATTAGAGCAAAATAAAGTTCTTCAAGGGTTAAATTGTTTAAAAATTAAAATATTAGTTTATGTTTAGTTAGAGAAACTATAGAAATAAATTTGTAAATAAAATACTTTTATGTACATGGACTGCAGCATTACATTTTTAATGGTTACTTATAATTCCTTTTTATTAAATAAATTTTTTAATAGTTTAGCAATGCTAATAAAAACCAGTAACTTTTTTGCTTCAACTTTGGGTTTAACAACCCTGAACTTTTTAAAGTTATATTTACTTTCATATACTGAATGGATAAAGTATATCACAGTAAATTTACTTATAAACTAAATCAAAACAACCAGTTTAGTTATTACAGTAACTTACAGTTACTTAAAAATTAATTTATCAACTATATTAATTTACTTAATATACTCAAAGACTTGAAAG